CCGGCCCGCGCTGCGCGTGCGGCCTGCACCCCACGAGAAGGCCTGGTGGTTCTGCCGTGGGTTCGGATCGGAGGCGTCTCTTGCGGGGAAGGACCGAAGTCTCTAAGCACAGAAAGCCCAGAAGCATTTTGGTGACTCCTCCCACCCCACCATTGTCGTCTGCCTCAGCTCCGAATGGAATCGTGGAAAATCAAGGTCGGAAGCTGAATCTTCTAGGAGCTTCCCCGGATTTAGGTCCCGGCGTGAATGCGGTGAGCGCGAATCCAGGGCGTGCGTCTGTCTCTCTGTCTGCCTTGTCTGTCTGTCTGCCTGTGTCTGTCTCCCGAGGGCAGCTGGGCTCCACCCACCCTGTTCCAAGTACCTTTGGAGGCCCGGGGTAACCCCAGAAGTGTGACAGGGATGACTTGTGGGTGGGGTTTCAGTGCGTGCGTGCCGCACCCGCGTAGCCTCTCTGAAATTACGGTCCAAGGGACGTCGTTTTCCTACAGATGACTCAGATTTAACCTTCTTTATGACTGCGTAGCTCTCCATTGTGTATAAACGTCAGCCTCTCTTCACCCGTCCATCTGCTGATGGACACGCAGGCTGCTTCCGAGATCTAACTGATGAGCTGTGCTGCTAAAACACGGCATGCGCGTGTCACTGCAAGATGCGTCAGCTCTCTACCAGCAACGGGAGCCTTACCCGCTAGTAAACCTAAACATTACAAAATTGGCAAAACAATTTTCCCTCCCACTCGGTCCCATTTTAGACAGCTAGGAACCTACTAGGAACAGCAGGTCTGCCTTGGTAAACACGAAGGCACGCGGCCACCTTCTCTCATCTTCCTCCTGCGGAAGGTACTGTTGCCAGTCGTGGAATCCACACTGATACATTAGGGAAATGCCGAGAATCCCTCAAACTGAGCAATCCGTGGTTTTTAGGGTTGCTTCGCAGGCTCTCAGGGCAGAAGCAGTGAGGACACTCGGGGGCGGGCCGGCTTCCTGGCGCCTGTCCCTGGTATAGCGAGAGGGGCAGGGCCTCCTGAGAGGTTGTGGGCAGGGAGGTCCATCAGGGGATTGACCTGAAGCTCCGGGAATAGCTTGCTCCAGTAAGTGGACTGTCCACACACATAACGCTAAAGAGAGTTCTGGTGGAATGAAACAGTCATTGGAAAAGTGGTCAGCAACTGGCCAAAGCACAGATGGCTTCATGGCACTCCGTGCTCATCCCGACATGGCCACAGCCTATTGGAACTAGTTGCTGTGCTCATTTTTATAAATGCACTTTTTCTCACCTGATAAAGCAACTCAGTCATCAGTGCATCCGTTCATTTGGCAAACATTTAGTCAAATCCCCAGGACACTGTACGTGGAGTAAGGTTCGTCACTGATGGCTGTAATGGGAGAGTCATAGAATTTTGAAGGTGTCCGAATCTCAGAAACTTGAAGCTTACAATTTAAAAAAAATATAAAGAAACATTGAGAATGTTAAATATCTACAGGCCTGTAGAGGGTATAAGGCAGTGGTGGCGAACCTATGGCACGCGTGTTGTTTTTATTTTAGTTGTTAATGCATGTGTTTTCTCTGTGCTAGAACCTCAGTATTCAGGGTTAGTTGCATTGTTGGTGCTTTGGGCTTCAGTCTGAGACCTCATCTCTGAAAGGTTCGCCATCACTGGTCTCGGGTGGAAATCTGCACACCCTCCTGCGTCGGTTACAATGCTGCATTTTCTTACACTCAGCTGCTCAGGAGCTCGGACACTGTCCATGCAGGGTCATTCCAGTGGCTTCCTGGTGTCACCTCCTGCTGTCACTCAGGGTGGCCTGTGGCCGTGGATCTCTTTCCACGCCACTTGGGAGGACCACTGCTTAGCCTGTTCCCATGCCCTTCAGCTCCTGAGGTCACTGCATGCTGTCCTGTGCACTGAGGGCTGTGGGAAGCCACCAACTCCATGGTGTTCTGTCCATGTGGGGCATGGGCCACAGCCTCTGCAGGGCCCAGGAGGCTCCAGGCACTGGCTGCAAACAGAGCACAGAGGCTCCAGCTCTGAGGCTTCTGCCACAACGTGCCTCTAGCAGAGTTGGAGTCTGGCTCTACCCTGGAGACAGGTGGAAACTCCCTGGATTCTCCTTGGAGTCTGTCTTTTGGCGCCACGGGGCTTGTTTCATTAGTGTGTTTGCTACACAGAATGGTGGCGTTTATTTGGGGGGATCTGGTACATGCACGAAGCATCTCCATCCTTCTCAGTGCCCTCAGGAGAGTGGGTGCATGTGTGTCCCTGTGTGGGCAGGCATCTGGGCAGGTTGTGTGGCCCGGGGTGTGGTGTGCATGGACAAGACCAGGTTACCCAGGGAGCCCTGGTGCCCCAAGGTGAGCGTGGTCAGCATGGCGGGACTGTGTGTGTGATGTTTCTGCTTCTCTGCATGACCCATTTGTCTGCCAGGGGATACCAGGGGGTGCCCCCTCCGGCCGTTGCAGACCCTGCTAATGTCAATCAGTGCACATGAGTCTGGAAGAGATAAACCTTTCATTTCCGGGGCACACTTGGGAGTGGGAGTGCTGCGCTGCATAGCAATTCTGTACTTCACTTTCTGAGAAAATGCCATTTGTTTTACTTTCTCTTTTTGATAACTCCCAGCATATGTATTTTACTGTTTCTGGATTGTTTTGACATTTGCCTCCTTGAGGTCCTTTGACCTTGATTGGCTTTAGTACTTTCTTCCTGCTTTGCTTCTCTTTGGATGGGTTTGGGATGACGGCACCACTTAGCGGGGCCCTGGGCCGGGGACCTGTCACGCCAGACTCAGCCTAAGTGCACTTGTTTTTTCTTTCTAATTTCATCGGTGAATTGTAGGTGCCCATTGTGATCACATTCACCCCTGGGTGTTTATACCATTCTGTGATGTATCTTGGTTCTTGTTTCTTCCCAGTCCCCTGCCCTCCCTTCCACTCCTCCACCCCTCCTCCTCCTCCCTGTTTACAAAAGTCTCACTATGTAGTTGAGACTGACCTGGAACTCACTTTGTAGCCCAGGCTGGTCTCGAACTCACAGCTATCCTCCTGCCTCAGCCTCCTGAGTGCTGGGATTACAGGTGTGAGCCACCATGCCCAGCTGAACCAGTTTTTTTAAAACTTCCTTTTCCCTAGGAGGTGTTTCATTTGACCTCAGAGCTATGCGTATATTAACTTTTTACTTTGAAATAATTATCAGCTCACACAAAGTCGCAAATACAACCTGGCGCTTTAGACCGTTTTCTGTTGCTGTTGCAGAATCTGAGACCGGATGTGTGTAAGAAATAGGTTTACAGATTCGGCTCATGGTTCTGTGGCTGGGAAGCCCAAGGCAGTGGCACCTGCGTCTGGCTGTGAGGTCGGGGATCAAGGCCACAGCGCACAGGTGTCTGCCCTTCTCACGGCTGCCCTGATGCTCCCCAGCTGTCGATTCTTAAGGCCACATTCCGCCTGCTGCTTCTGTGTGTTCAGGAGGCGGCGGTGGTACCCCAGGGTGCTCTCTCTGCCCGGTCTCCTCCATCTGTCCTGGGAGTCAGCTTTCCCACTGTACTTCGTCGGAGTGGACGCCCAGTCCTTCAGTGCATCCCTGTGCGTGTGTGTGTGTGTACGCGCACGCTTCTGCACGCCCAACGCGAGTCTCCCTCTGGGCAAGGGCAGCCCTTCCTAACCCACCCACCTGAGTGTCTTGCCCGTGGGGGGGCTCCCCTCACACAGCGAGCCCGGCGCTGACCGTCAGCACCATCCAAGGACTCCAGATTCTGACAGAGAAGCCCCCATGGAAACGAACCGCCGGGGAGTTTCAGTGTTGGGCCTGTTGTGAGTGGGTGAGCGGAGAGGAGAATTTAAGGAACGGGAAGAGGCCCCACCCCTGGGCATCTCGGAAAGTGCCCTTTGAGTCCAGCTTCCAGTGTCCCTTTCAGGTGGGGCCTGCACCGTCCCTGAGAGCTCACCGTCCACTCCATTTTGCAAAGCCCAACTCTACAGAGGCTCTGGAGCTGTGGGCAGGGCCAGCCCAGCATGCAGGTCCAGGTGACGTGTTGTTTTATTTGTTGATTTCCTCTGCCACACGATGACTTTGAACAACTTCCATCTCGATAGAAATGAAGCCGAATGTTAACATCGTCTTTGCGGACTTTTTGTAGGTGACTTTCTAGTTAAAATGTAACTGGAATTCCGGAGCCTGGGACTTTTATACAATAAAATCCCATGTTTTCTGTGCAGATGTTGCTAAAAAGGAAAAGAGACAGGGAAAAGTAAATGGACCCCAGAGAAAACCGCACAAGCGTGCACAGCCCACCACGCACAGGTGCTGTCCTAGGTGCATGTGCAGGTGTCACGTGAAGCAATGGCCCATGCTCAGCCGCACCCCACACATGGGCCAGGGGCTGCAGCGCCCTGTTCGTCGAGGCCTGGGCCTTTGGTGGGTGTGTCCTCACCGGGAGGGAAGGTGCTGTCGCTGTATGGTGGTCACCAGTGAGAAGGTAGTTTCCCTCCGGCCAGTGACGGAGCGGTAACGGGCATGTAAGGATGTTAATGTTTTGTGGAGTTTATAGCCAGATGGGAACACTGCCTCTGCAGACTCTCCTCTTACTTCTTTCTTGTCACCCAGACTTTTTTTTCTTAACAACAAAGAAAACAGGACAATGCAGGAAGCCTTTTTGATTTTCTCTGGTTTTGATTTTCTCCCTTTCCGCCCTTCTCCTGGAGGTTAAACAAGAGGCCTCTACAGGTCCTCACATAACTCCTGCTTCCAGTGGGGACAGGACACTGGAAGGTGTCCTTTCAGTCCCAACGGGCCTTTCAAGTGCCTGCAGTTTTATGGCCTTCGTGATCGCCAATTACACTGCCGGGGACAATGGACCTACTGCTTAAATGACCAGGCCTCAGATTTGCCTCGATTTGCCCGAGTGTGTCATAGCAACTCTATCCTTTCAAGCAGGGGGAGTCTAATTGCAGGACAGAGATGGTCAGCGCCCAGGACAGGGACAATATGCTCGGCTCCCTCCCTTTCCCGGCTGTCCATCCTGACCCTGCTGCCCTGCTAGCCCTCCCCTGACCCAGGCTGTCCTCTGGCATGCATGTCCCTGCAGAGGGAGCCAGGGAGCGCAGGAGGAGCAAGGTGCCACTGATAAGGGTACAGAATAGAAAACCAATGAGCGACACATCCGGTTCTGCTGTGGGAGGCCCAGATGAGAGTGGGTGGTATAGTTGGGGGTACGCAAAGGGTTTTGTCTGAAGCAGAGATGCTGACTGGCAG